CCACCACCACCACCACTACTGCACTACTACCATCACTATCAGGACTGGTACAGGTGTTCGCATGAGCACTCGCACTTGTACGGATGCTACTGCTACTTCAAGTCCATACCCCACCCCCCTCATAGTACCAGACCCTTGTAGTGCGTTTGTCGTGATGGCGATCATGCTGGGAACGAGCCTGATCAGACCATTAAAGTGTACGCCTTGGACACGGGTGTGCCCACTTTCGTCTCCTTGCGAATTTCGGCTCTTAGACTTTAACGGCCTGAACCCTAATTGAACCTCGACAGAATCCTTGCAGAAAGAGGTTCATAGGGTCAGGGCTTAGGGTTTCTAGAACTCCCATAGATACCTCAAAAAGTACCCTAGGTAGTACGTATATTGAAGCCCTATCGGTCGATAGAATCCGTATAGCACCCCTCCCCCCCCCATCCCCCCCTCCCCCCCCTCCCCCCAAAGCGTTGGGGGGGCGTTTTAGGAACTGGCGAGTTCCCTTGCAGGTATGGGTGGTGCAGCATGAAGCCTGGCCTGCTTCAGAAAGGCCCTTTCAAACTGAGCAGAAGATGCTTCGGGTCGAGGTTGTGGGGTTTAGGGTTTAGGGTTTTAGGTTGTAGGGTTTAGGGCTTAGAGTTTAGGGTTTAGTTCCTTTTTGGGGTTACCTTAGAGGATCCTTCATGTAGAAATGGTTAAACCAAATTCAAGAAAGGGAACTACAATGGAGACTAGATGTGGAGTTTAGGGCTTTAAGCCTCGATCGTCAAGAGTTGTCCCAGGAGCTTGCGACATACGGTTGATGATATAAATCCTGCATTGCCCATAGTAAGGAATTGACCATAATTCCCATAGTTTAGGGTCCTTAAAGTAATGCAGGATTTATATCATCAACCGTGTAACTGTGGTTGGCAAGTGATTGACAAGTCGGAGCCTTTCCAACTGACTCTGGGGCTCCTCTAAACCCTAGTGTAGAAGGTTTTGGGTACACTATGCTATAATAATAGTAATAAGGAGCCCCTATACTAGTCGTCTTGCACTCAGAACATGCTAGACGGGGTTCCGACTGCATAAGGCTCTCGCGCTTTCGGTTTCGCCGAGTTAGTTCCAGCTTCAATTCCGCAACAATGCCGGGCGAACTTGGAATAGGAGCTCCTTCATCGGCGTGTTAAAGAGTTACGTAAAATCCTTAAGTATAGCAGCCGTGAGAAGCAGCCTTATAGTATCCCGTTAGATACACTGCTTCTCTCCTATCGTTTCACCAACTCCAAACCCTAAACCCTAAACACTATCGAGGAAGGACAGCCTCCGGTGGAGAGCATGGTCATCGACTGGTCAGTTTCCAAGGGCCCTTTCCCTATGAAGGTCTCCTGCGCAGAGGCCTTTTCTTTGCTGGGGGCCTTGACGGGTTCACGGCTGAAGCATCCCGTTACCAAATCAGGAAGGACGATTCCATGAATCTGACGAAGGAGTCCTCTACAGTTGAAGATGTGGCCTCTCTAGGGACATGAGGGTTCCTAGGAGGAGTTGGACATGGAAGTTGTTCGGCAAGGCATTGCTGCTTGTTGCTCTCTGTGTGGTTTGGGTGTGGGTCCTTTTTCACCTACTATCTAGCGTCCAAATTCTACTGGAACTCTCTCAGACATGCGGAGGCACGCCTGCCCCACCTAAACGTTCCATGATTTCGCATGTCGTGCCCTAAACTCTAAACCCTAAACCCTAAGCTCTAAGCCCAAACCTTCTAGACCCTAAGCGCTAACCTTGGGGTGATATCGAGAAAGAAGCACCCTCGAAAGGGTTGTCCTGTTGCTTTGCAGTGCCTTGGGACTTTTTTTGGAGTTAGGGTTTAGCATGTTGGGTGTTTACTTGAGGGTTTGGGTTTCCGAGGTGTAAACCCTAAGCCCTAAACTGGTCTGAGGCTTCGAAAAAAACTGAATCTTCGCGCTCAACAGAAGGCAGTAAAGGGGCCTGGGGAAGCAGAGATGGGTTCCCGACTTTGCTGACACAGCAAAAGGCCAAGAATCCGAAAGCTTTAGTCTAATTGTGCAGGCCTGTAGAGTTGATGACCTGTTTTTGTTTCGACACAGCAGAAGAATGCTTAATGGGCCTAGTCAGGACTGGGCGCTGATCTTAGAAACTCGGAGCTTGGCAGGCCAGCTGCTGGATGTGGATATCGGGCTGCACGAGCGGCAGCGCCTTCGGCAAGAGACGGGTCTGGGGTTTGTAGGGTGAGTATACGGCGTGCGCGCGGTGGGTGCGTTTTCTCAGGTATGCAGGCACGCCCACTTATCGCGCGCCTGTGTCAGCATGTAGTCAATGTAGTCCCGCCCCAACCAACCCGACTATTCTCAATTAGGGTTTAAGGTTCACCCCCCAAACCCCCCTCAAGGGGGGTCTCTTGCTCACTGCTTCCCCCCGCAATTCTACACATGAACGACCAAATCTCACAGCAAGCCACAGCTGAGATGGATCGGTGTCGAGTTGTGGGTCCTCGCGGCCTGTGCTGGCCGCTCGATGAGAAACAAGGGCTCGCAAGCAACAATTCGCCCCTCGCACCCTGTGAGGGTCGCTTGAAATGTAAGCATCTAACTGCCTGAAAGGGTTGAGCCGGTGTTGCAAATTGCAGGTTAGAGCAGGCATGCACACACACGCACACACAGACAGACCGCCACACAGACAGACACACACACACACAGAGACAGAGACATGGTACAGAGACAGAGACACAGACGCAGACACAGACACAGACGCGTGCGCGCGCACGTAGTGACTAATCATCAAGGATTGAAGGCCCCGGCAAGCTTGTCAAGAGTTTCGAGAGCTGTGGCAACTTGGCGAAGGTCCTGGGAAGGCCTTGGCGAGGCCCCGCCCCTGGTAAGGACTTGGAGGAAGGGAACCCAGAATTCGTTTTTTTCCCTGGAATCTGCCAGCTGGCTTGGTCGAAGCCTCGAGCGCCCATGCAATTGGTCAGCGGTTCTTTCGGCAGCTTAGGGTTTAAGGTTTCAAGAAGAGACGTCTCAAACTGCAAGCAGGACTTCTACTACTGTAGATCAAAGAGGTCAGCAATAAGAGCCGAGACTCACTCCAAGGCCAAACAGAAAGAGTATGAGGTTTTCGACATATGTTATTAGATCCTCCAGGCCTCTTCGCTCCGGTGCCGCTCGAGGTCCGAGCCATGCACCCTCGAGTTTGAGTTTTCGGAAACGTAAGGGCAATATGGGCGAATGTAAATGTTGAAAACATTGGATCCTCTGAACGCCCCTGAACAGGAGCCTCTACTGCAAGAACTCGAGCATGAGTCATGTCGATGCCAAAGAGAACCCAGAGACCTATTCAAAGTGATCTCGTTCTGAGGTCCTCGCCAAGTCATCACGAAGCGTGGCCCAAAAGCTCGTTCCCCCAAGACCAGATCCTAAGAAGTCGTAAACCTTGAAACCACAGACCCCAAATCAAAGCCCAAGGCCCAACACCGAAAAATTAACAATTCCTTTAACCCTAAACCCCTAAACCCTTAACCTCTAAAACTAAAGCCCAAACCCTAAACTCTCAACGCCCTAAGCCGAAGGCTCTGATCGATGCATTGCCATGTCCAGCGGCGAGTCGAGGACCATCGAGATGTGCAGCTCGCCTCGATCCAGCAGATCGCTTTAGGGTTGAGGGGTTTAAGTTTAAGGTTTAGGGGGTTAGCGCTTCAGGGTTCAGGGGTTGAGGGATTTAGGGTTTGGGGGTTTTGGATTTAGGGTGGCTCCTGGTAGAATTCTAGTGTAGATCTGCACAGGCGGGGTAAAGTATGATACGTCTTGTGAGGCAAGCGGCAGCTAGACAACAGTGATGACGGCAATGGTCCATGCAAGTTGTAGCTCTGGGAAGGTGTGTGCCCTTCAGCAGGCTGCCCTGCTGTATAACGTTGCAATCGGCATGGGTGATGTCGAAGTTGTGTTCGGTGTGCTGTTGTGATGGCTGGAGGCAACACCGCCGACTCTGCATTCGCAGCTTGTGTTTCTGTGCGTGGGGCAGGCTGTTCATGACTGCCCGCATCCCAATCAAAGTCTGTCCAGGCGTCACAAAGGTTCTAACGCAACACCCTCGACGGGGAATCTGCACGTGTATTCTCTGAGCACCGGCCTTACCGGTGGCCCCGTGCCGTACTGAGAGCCCTAAACCTTTGCCTTTTCGAGCCGACCGAGCCCAGGCTACTCCAATGCTGCCCGCGAGGGTTTGCACATGTGGTGGAGCTCCCCGAACGGCACCGTCCCTTGCCGAGAGCACAGCGGCATGGACATCTAGACATGGCGCTTGAGAGATCAAGGATCCCTATATACAAACTACTGGTAGCCGTGTCGTCGTCATGGCGGCAGCAGTAGTCGTCGTCGTCGTCGTCGTCGTCGTAGTATCTATCGCAGTTGCTGTCGCTGTTGCGGCTGCTGCTGTCGCTGTGATCGTGGTTGCGGGATTCAGTTGCAGCGGCAGTAGCAGTAGCAGTAACAGGAGCA